GTGCGAGCATTGCGAGTACGCGACGCACCGTGGATGCGAGCCTTTGTTTTTTTTGTTATCGAGGGACGGCCGAGAGTTCGGCGTGAATGAACGAACGTGGAAACTCTGAGGAACGTCGAGGAGTAATTGTGAGCATCGATAGGTGGTGGTGGTGTGCGACGAGTAAGAAATTTCTTCGGCGCACGTAATAAATTATGGGGCCGATAGTGGCTGAAAGGGGAATAAATGTAACAGAAGATAAAGAGAAACTGGAATAAATGCCGCGAGAGTAATGAACGCTGATGATGCGATCTAACCTGAACAGATGAAATATTAACCCCAGCGGCGCCGGGGTTGGTTGCGAGCTGACCCACCTTTTAGAAAATATTACGCGACTCGTATTAATTGTGACGTTGAATCGATCGGACTCCGAATAGAAGTTGATGAATAGTTCGTTTCTCTTCTGTGGTAGCTACTACTAACAAAATATGTAACATACGCATCGATAAATTGTTCTTCCGTCGAGCAGCAACATTGCACGAGTAGATCGATCGGAGGCTCGCGGAGTTCGAAGAACTATAGCAGCAAGAAAACAGCCGAATAAGGGCGGAATCGCAACCGACAGGGTGCAAACCCGACATTAAACGTCTATTAACCCTAGGACGCCGGCGCCTGCGTCCATTCGGACCCGGAGTTTCAAAGGCTTCGTCTAACTTCTCATCTTCCGACAACTAACTTAACCTTGTTAGTTATTTACATCGGACGTTCGGAACTATTCGGGACTCTAGGAACGGCGATGGCCTAGGACCATGATCCAATTCCTGAGACGCGTGTTCCTCGGGAAATTAGTTAGATCTCTTATCTGGTCTCATCAAAAATCCCTTATCTCGTCAAACTCAGGGAGACTAACCGAGAACCATAAAATACGCTCTAAGGTTAAAAGGAGACACTGCATCTCGAAGAGACTAAATAACAACTTATCCCGATAAACCGATAGCTGTTCAGTTCGAGATTCCATTAACTTCGATCCTCTAAAAAAAATCTGTTCCCCCATGAACATCAGAGAAAGTGTACGTCCCGGTTCGAATAAACCGTGGGCGATGCTGGTCGCGGTCGCCGAGCGTCACAAACAGAACTCGTTCGGTCCGTTTCGATTTTTCGGCGAGCCGTGCCAGTTAATTCGAAAGGGTGCGCGGGTGCCCATTTTGCGGGCAGAAAGCACGGGTAACGAACTGCGTCGCTGCAGTTGCTAATCGCTTTAACCGTTCCCCGAGTTCTGGCCCCGGGATTGAACGATGAACCGAGTTCAGCCCCGCGCCGGCTGGAGGGAACAAAAAATGATCGTCGCCTATGCATCGGCATGTTTCCCCCCGTCACCCCCGCGCGCCGGTTTTAAAGGGTTGTCGCTACATCGGCGTCCGTCTACGCGATCCTCTAACGAATTAACAGGAACGCGACGGCAGAGGTCGACGCAGGCGGCTCGAAAAATCGTTAAACATCGCTTCCCACGGAGCCCACGCTCCAACATG